GAGTTGTCCTCCTGTAGAGGGACATGCCCGATTGAAGGCCAGGGCCAGGGACTCAGACCGCCCTCGAGGGGGTAACAAAATAACACCAGGACCTCGACATCGAAAATCCAGCCGAGGCTGTTTCAAGCAGTCCAGATAGGCCTTTGGTGAAGGGGCCCTGGGACACACGCGCGCACGCATACGCACACACACACACGCGCACACTTTCTGTTCTGCGGATCGGGAACGGGCCCCTTCCGGTCAAAAGCTAAACGGGGCGCGAGTAGCCCTAATTGAGGAGACAGGGCGCGGGCGGACGGGGCCTCAGGCGGCCGGAAAGCGTGGGTGCAGGCGGTGCCGATGAGCGCAGGAAAAGGTACGCCTTGGACAGGAGCCGGGGGCGAAATCCCGGAGGGAGGGCGAAGCGGTGTTGCCGTCGACGACGTGCCAAAACCACCATCCTCGAGTGCGGGACGTGACCAGGTCGACGCCCGAGTAGAGGACAACCAGGTAGGCGAAGTGCAACAGGTGCCACCAACTGGTAAGGAGAGGCCCAGGAGATGAGGAGGACCACGAAGACGATGTGCAACGTTGTGCCACTGGGTGGTCGGTAGCGGCCTGGGGTGGTAGTCCAATCCGCCTCCAGGTAGCAGCCACGAGGAGCGGCCAGAGGGGCCGCCTGTGTCCGCCTGCCGCGGGCCAGGCCAGAGCCGCGCTGCCCAGGGTGAGCGGGGCCGCCGAGGCGGCAAGGTGCAGTGCCAGCACCGGGCCGGAGCCGCGCTGTGCCGGGCGCCGCCGCAATGGGAGGGGGGGAAACGGGCGGGGGGGGAAGAAGCGAACAGGGAGGAGAGAGGCCAGCGTCTCACGCCAGCCGAGGTCCCGCCGGCAAGCACCGAGGTGCTCACCTGGGGACACGCCACAATGTATACAGGTAGTGACCGAGGCCACAACGCGGGCGTGTCACGCACGCCGCTGGCGCACCAACGCGTCGCAGGTGGGCACAGGTGGGGACACAGAGTCCCAGATCCTGGAATCTCATGCGACCCCAATGCGTCCACGTAAGGCCAGAAGCCACAACGCGGGCGTGTCACGCACGCCGCTGGCGCACCAACGCGTCGCAGGTGGGCACAAGGGGGGACACAGAATCCCAGATCCTTGAATCTCATGCAGCCGATGGAGGCAAACGGGGACACAGAGTCCCAGATCCTCGAATCGCACCCCAATGCGTACAGGTAAGGCCCGAGGCCACAACGCGGGCGTGTCACGCACGCCGCTGGCGCACTAATACGTTGCAGGTGGGCACAGGGGGGGGCACAGAGATCCTTGAATCTCATTCAGCCGATGGATACAGGGGGGGGACACAGAGTCCCAGATCCTCGAATCTCACTCAGCCGATGGGTACAGGTAGGACACAGAGTCCCAGACCCTTGTGGAAACAGCCGGGGGCCACAGGTGGGGACACACAGTCCCAGATCCCTGAATCTCCATCAACCCAACGCGCACAGGTAAGACACGAGGTCCTAACGCAGGTATAAACGGGAGAGGGGGAGGGGAGGGGAAGAGAAGGAACAGGAGGAGGGAGTGCAGGGACGGATGTGCCGTGCTGCCGAAGGGCGAGGGGGACAGGTCGGCGGCTGGTCAGCGCCGCGGGCGCTGTCCAGTCCAGGTGTCGTGGTACCCGAAGCCGCGAGCCTGGTCGTCTTCGCGCCCGTCGCCCTGGTCCGCTCCTCGCACCTCGCCGCCGAGGGGGTACCTGGCGCCCCTTGCCCGGGCCTTCTCTGCGGCACGGGAGTCGCTGCTGCAACTGGACCCAGTTGACGCCGAGGTTCAGCGCGTCGCTCATGGCCCTCTCGTCGGAGTTGTGGTGGCAGAAGGAGTGCAGGAAACTGACGCAGGTTTGCTGGTCGTGTCGTCGTGGGTCGAGTGCGCCCTTGCCGTGCTGCTTGGCGAACGCGTGCCAGGCGCCTGTGAACATCGCACCCAGGGTGGTTTGGAGCCGCTTTATCGTCTCGCCGGGGTCTCCCTCCCTGGGGAGACTCCACTGGATGCAGCTGATCTTGGTTCTATACATTTGCTGTCCCGTGTCGGGGTCCAGGGGTTCGGGCCCTTGGTGCGTGAGGGGCCTCGCTTCCCGTGGCGGGGTAGTCGGCGGGAGGTCCCTGGAGCGGCACACACACAAATACACTCAAATAGCAAGATTCCCCATATTTTTCCATATTTTATGTGTTTTTGTCTTGCCCCCCACTTCCCGTATTTTCCCAGATCTTCCCGGGGATGGGCGATCAATTGTGTCTGTGTGTGTGTGTTTCCCCTCCAGATATGGGTCTGGAGGGCTGTTTTCAGCACTCTGGAAGGCCAGGGATACATCGACCCCCCTAGTCATCCCCCCCGTGGCCGCCCCCGCCCTGCGCCCCCCTGCTTGGGCGGATCCCGGGAACCCTGAACCCGAAGTTAAATCGGGCCTGCCCCTCTACAGGGGGAACGTTCAAAAAGAGTCAAAAATTAGTATGGAGACGTTTCTCTTGTCGTTTTTTTACCATTTTCGAACATCTTAGAACATGCTTTGACGATCTTTCATTTTCCATCCGACATCGGCCTGTTGGAGGACAGGCCCGACTTGAACCCAAAGACGTGTTCGGCTCTTCGGGGCGCCTCTGCTCCCTCCGCCGCCCTCCGCCGGCGGAGGCGGCCTCGCCGCGGACTTCCGCCGCCCCTGCCCTCGAGGAGGAGACCCAGAGATCCGAGGCCGTGTTTTTTTTAAGTGCGGGGTCCCCGGAAGCCTGTCCTCTGTTCCGACTGTCCCGGCTGTTCTGTCCCGAATCGTCGTCTGACGGTCCCGGGGCCCGGCGAGGGCCCCACTATATAAGGGCCGAACCGTGCGAAAAGCCTCCGCCCTGATTTTTGTCAATGCGTTGGATCTCCGGGGATGGCACCTCCTTCGAGCCTTCGACTTGGGGCGGTCGGGGTCGACGGGGTGGTCAGCGCCCCACAAACGGGGACTCCACTAACGGGTACTTTGGCCAGTGACCAAGCGAACCCAACCCTTCCCGATGCGGGCAACGCTGCATTGCCAGAAAGAGGCCCTAAAGCGGCAACTTTCGGCAAAATTGCAAAGTATCCGTTAATAAGTACCCGTTACGGTGCCGTTGAGGTGGTCGGGGTTGACGCCGCCCGAAGCGCGGGCAGCAGCGCCGCGGGCCCGCGGCGGGAGGCCTCGGAGGGCCGACGCGGCGGCGCGCGCCGCATCGCGCGGCCGCCTGGGGGCCGAGGCCTTGGCCTCGCCATCGCTCGGACGCCTATTCCCTGTGCTTGTTTCGGCTTCGTGCGTGGCCTTTTCCGCCAGGATCACGGATGCTCCTCGATGGTCCTATCGCCGAGGAAGAAAACGCAAACGTCCGAGCGATGCCGAGTGGCGGTGTGTCGGGTCCACGCCCAAGTGGCACCCCTTGCGGGATTCGAGCCCGCAGGCTTCGGGCGAGGAACCCCGCGACGCCCTGTCCAGCGGGCCCACGGGGGCCCTGCCTGCCGCACTGGCTGGGGCGACCGTCGCCCCCTGGGCCCTCGCCGGGCCTCAGGGGCCGTCAAGAAACGGCTCGGGATGAAGAACCAGTCCCGGGGAAGTGGTCGGGAGGTCGGAGGCCAGTGTCTCGCAGAAACTCGGAACGTCAGCTCTCTGGTAAGGGCCCAGACCTCCCTCGAGGAGTAAATTATCCCAGTGCGACCCTACCTAGGAGTTCGAGGATCTAGGAAAGCAACATCTATATGAAGCTAGGTTAAGCTTAGATGAAGCTAAGCTAAGATAAAATCAGATAAGCTAAGATGAGATAAGCAACGCTAAGCTAAGGGGACGTAACTGGGGGAACCGCGGGGCGGATACTGGGGGAACCGCCCCGGGCGAGTTGCACTGCCCAGCCCTTTAAGCATACCGAGTAAGAACCCTTCTAGGCAGAGCCTAGGTAGGGAACAATAGCACCAGGACCTCGACATCTAAAATCCAGTCGAGGTTTGAAGCAGTCCAGATGGGTCCTGTAGGTCTGGAGGGCTATTTTCTGGCACTCTGGAAGGTAATGGGGAGACTTGAGCCAACAAAAAGCCGAGATCTGGGCGCTGCCCTGTTTTCAAGCCCGACGCTTGCGCCTCGTTTCGGGCCCCAGGGCCCTAGTGGCTCGATCCTGCCTCGAGGAGTGCCGCAGAAAGCTTGGGTCCGGGGCTCTGGTCGTGAAGTTCCACGCTGTTGCAATCTGTGGTGGCGTCGGATCTCAGGGGAGAGGAGGTGGTTCGAGGCGGTCGGATGTGATTTCCTCTTCAACTCTCGCTCGCCTCCGAAAGACACCTAGACACCTGTGCAGAACATATTGCCATTCTGCTTGTACCTGCTTCGTGGTCTTATGTTGGTCGGGGACGTTCGATGCCGCTGGAGCGCGGGATCGAACGGGAGAAGGATGAGGAAGCGGGAATGGAAATGGACGCTGGTGATGGTGGTGATGGTGGTCAGTGGCGATGAGGAAGGTGATGGTGATGAGCTTGGCCTGGCTCGGCCACGGGGTGTGCAAAGAGTGGCGAGAACGACGAGCCACACCACCTACCGCGTCCGCGTTCAACACACACTTCTCCTCGGGGCCGTTTGGGCCGACTTGGAAGCCACTTGAAGGGCCTCTGTGGAGAGCAGAGAATCCAATCCCGCAAGAAGCACCCCGACAAGAGGAGCCGTTTCGTGAACGCACCCATGGGAGGAATGGCACAGGGGAAGGCTGTTGAGTAAACGCCCGGGGCCGTTCAGTAAACGCCAATTGTCGGGATCGGGCGTCGAGAACTAGTTTGCGGGACAAGAGTCATATCTTTCCGCGACACCTGGAGATCTATAACCAGCCTCGAACTTATCCCTGTCCCTGCGATGGGCGAGCACAAAGCAAGGACAATCTCAGGTATGTGCCCTGAGGAACCGAGGGAATCCTTGAGATCGGCCTCGAGGTGAGGTGATGCCAAACACAGGGATAGGGATATGTTTCAAACTGGGGGATCTAGGCAGCAGCATGGGAGGGTATGGTCCTGAAGGGGCCCAAGTTGGCCACCGCGTCGGCCAAAACCGCCGCGTCGCGCTGGCAGTGGCCGAAGGGGGCCTCTCGCGGGACGCGGAACACACCTTGCCACTCGACCCACTCCTGCGTAAGTCATCGTCGTCGTCCTCCTCCTCCTCCTCCTGCCCTACCTTTCCAGCGGAGTCGTCCTGCTCTTGCTCCTCCTCCTGCTCTCCCCCCCCCCCTTCCTCTTCCTGCGTTTCCTCCACCCGCTCTTCCTGCTCATCCTCATCCTGATATTCCTCATGAGTTCGTTCTCTACCTCTCCCTCCTCCTCATCAGCAGCATCACCACCATAGCCGCCATCATCATCATCATCATCAGCACCATAGCCACCAGCACCACCACCACCAGCAGCACCATTCACCATTCACCAGCATCAGCATAACCTTCTGCATCATCATCAACATCATCACCACCACCACCACCTTCAGCATCATCACCAGCAGCAGCAGCAGCATCAGCATCACCATCAGCGTCATCGTCGTGATCGTCATCATCGTCAGCATCACCATCGCCACCACCATCACCGTCACAGTCACCATGATCATGACCATCATCATCAGCAGCCGCATCATCATCATCATCACAACCACCACCACCATCATCATCACCACCACCACCACCACCATCATCATCATCATCATCATCATCATCATCATCATCATCATCATCATCATCATCATCATCACCATCACCATCACCATCACCATCACCATCACCATCACCATCACCATCACCATCACCATCATCCATCACATCATCACCATCACCATCACCATCACCATCAATCACCATCATCACCATCACCATCATCACCATCATCATCATCATCATCATCATCGTCATCATCATCATCATCATCACCATCATCATCACCATCACCATCATCACCATCACCATCACCATCATCACCATCATCATCACCATCATCATCATCATCATCATCATCATCAACATCATCAACATCATCATCATCATCATCATCATCATCATCATCATCATCATCATCATCATCATCATCATCATCATCATCATCCCCAGCATCATCATCGGCATCATCATCATCATTATCATCACGTGCCTCAATAACCACCACCACCACCACCTTCACCAACATCACCATTTGCATCGTCATCGTCATCATCCTCAACAACAACATTAACATCGTCCTCGCTTTCCACATCTTTCCGTTCTCCTACGCCTGTCCCCGCTCCCTCTCTGCCCCCTCCCGCCTCCCTCCCCCCTCCCTAGTCTCGTCTCTTCTCGTCGCTTCTCTTCTCCTGCTGCCTGGTCGCTCCTCTCCGCTCCATTCCCCTTCCGTACCTTCGTCCGCGCCAAGGGGGGAGGCCATCCCACATCCCCCGTGCAGCACGCGGCGCCTCCCGCTCTGCGAGGGGGGGGGGTCCGCTCGGCTCTCGTGGCGCCGCGGAGCCCAGACAGCGGCACTGTCCAGAGTGGTGCGCTCTCTCTCTGAGGAGAAGGAGGAGGAGGATGAGGAGGAGGATGAGGAGGAGGAGGAGGAGGAGGAGGAGGAGGAGGACGCCCACCCTCCTCCCCTTCGATGTCTGTCGATCGCCCTATCCCATCCTCCCTGCATCTCTCGGTGCTTCCTCACCCCCCCCCTCGCTCCCTGCCTGCCACCCCCTGCCCAGTACTTGTCCTCCTCTCCCCCTCCCCCCGTCCTCGCCTCTTCCCTGCTCCTCCCTCCTCCTGGCTGGCTGGCTGGTTTGTGCTCCCTCTTATCCGTACTACAGTTCCTGAGCTGGGCATTGTTCGCCCTTTGCGCTTCGCACATTCCGCCGCCCTCGTGTCGTTGGTTTGGGCTGCCTGAGAACTCAAGGCCTGGCCTCCCTTCGTTGGGGAGGGCGGCGGGAAAACTGAACAAGAAATATACTCCCCTCCTCATGCACAAGGTGTGCGTCACATGCGAAGGCGCAGCGACTACGCTAATGCTATGTCCCACCGACCCCTGTCCTCCTCCCAGTTCTCGTCCTCATCGTCCTCGTCGTCCTCTTCGGCCCCCCGATCCCCGCCCAATCCTCGTCGTCCTTTCCCCGTTGACCGCCTCCATCTCTTTCTCGTCCCCTCCGTCCCGCCATCCTCATCCCGCGCCACCGTCTCGCTTTGTCCTCCCTCCCCCGCAAATTCCTTTCCTCCTTCTTCCCGGGAGGCCAATCATAGCCCGAGCTCGTTCCCTGGTGCTGCGCCCATGGTGAGGGCATCCATCTGAATTCTCGGCCTGTTCCCTGCATGCCGCAACACACAACACTTATTGGTGCCGGCCCCACCGTCCTGTGAAGGGACACCGCCGTGCACCCCTCTTCCCCCTCCAGCTCCCATGCTGACGATGTCCTGCGAAGAGCTCAACACTTCCAGCATTGAACTTCTAGGGGGGGAAGAGGAGGAGGAGGAGGGGGCGGTAGAGATAGACGAGGAGGAGGAACAGGAGGAGGAAGAGGAGGAGGATGAGGAGGACTAGGAGGAGGCGGTAGAGATAGAGGAGGAGGAGGATGAGGAGGAGGAGGAGGAGGAGGAGGAGGCGGTAGAGATAGAGGAGGAGGAGGAGGAGGAGGAGGAGGAGGAGGAGGAGGAGGAGGCGGTAGAGATAGAGGAGGAGGAGTAGGAGGAGGAGGAGGAGGAGAAGGAGGAGGAGAAGGAGGAGGAGGAGGAGCTGGTGGGGGTGGAGGAGGTCGAGCATCAGAAGGGCGACCTCGCTGCGCAGGGCCTGACCTCCGTCTGGCCGCAACTGCCGACGGGGCTCCCGCCGCCCGAGCCGAGCGCCGCGGGCGCGGCGTCGGCTCCGCGCGGCAAGCGGAGGCCCTCGGCCGATGCAGTCGTTGGGGACGCCCGAGGTCGGCGCGGGCAGCACGGGCAGGATTGAAGGGGCCCACAAGCGCACAAATGAATACACCCTGCGAAATGCTTAAGAAATCATGGGTTAAGAAATTCATAGTCTCAGAACTTGAATAAAAACCCAACGTTTCTATTACAATCTGAAGATTTACATGGAAACGTTAAGAATAATCGAGACTCTGGCCGAAAACTTCAGTTGTCTTAAGCATCGCCTACTGTGTACTCCAGATTTCGCCATAAAAGGGAGGGGGTCACAACCCTCACAGACGGGCAATTCCAGGCCCCCCCCAGACAAGCCATGAAGGGCGGTTCTTTGCCCAGAGCCACTGGGACCCTCCAGGACAGCTCAGATCTGACCCCATCCCAAATCAGACCACCCCCCTTTTTTTGTGAAAGCTGGAGCACCCACAAAGAACAGGATTCCCCACAGAACCTAAACATGTTTCAAGAACAAGAACAGTGTTCTTCGACCATAAGCCCGAGGTGATACAAAAAGACAGGCTCCGCCAGAAATGCTCTAAGAACATGTCGTGGAAACCGCACAAGCTTCTTAGAACACTGTTCGGTAGGGCTGTATTCGGGGATGGGCAGACCTCCCTTCAGTAAAACGTGGTTTAGTGCAAACGACCTGAGGCCCAAACCTGGCGGGCGCAAGCCTGGAAGGTAACGGCCGCGGCGCCCTCTCGAGAACCGACACCGGACAATTCACTCATCGACGTGTCACTGTTGGGGGGTCCTGTCCACCCCCGACATATGCGAGCCAGGGCACTTCGCCACTGCTGGAGCGCGTCTGACACCTACCAGACCACTCCAACCCAACCCGAAGACCCGAATTTCGGGTTGGGGGGGGTATGGGCTCCATATGTGTTTTTTCGATGTTACCGGACCCCCCCCCACTAGAAATCGAGGGTAAATCTGAGACTTCGGGTTGGGTTGGGGTGGTTTGGTGGGTGGTGAGCGTCTCCTTCCCTCCCGTGAGCGACGCTCGGCAGCAAGCGCTGTCCAGTCGGCCGCCGCGGAGCCGGACGCCCTGCGGCAACCACGACGGCGAGCCTGGCTCGGAGAGGGCAGGGGCTGCCGGGGCTCTTCGTGCCCTCTCCTCCAGTGTAGCCAGCCAGGATGGTAAGGCTGCGCGACAAGGAGGAGGAGGAGGAGGAGGAGGAGGAGGAGGAGGAGGAGGAGGAGGAGGAGGGGGGAGGAGGAGGAGGAGGAGGGAGGAGGAGGATGGAGGGGGAGGAGGAGGAAGAGGAGGGCCTTGGACGCCCATGTCGACGCTTCTCGAGCGGGGCGCGGCGAGCGAAAGCGGCGAAGGGTGGGCCGAGGAGGCGAGGATGCAAGGGTACCCTTGGGAAGGTTGCCCATCCTTCCTGTCATGGTTGACTGCACCCACCTCGACCGTGCCGCGTGGGTGACTCATGGCTGGACCGACCACCGCCGACGCAGCGCGCCCAGGGTGGGCTGCCACCCCGCGGGCCCCGCGCGCTGCACCCTGGGGCCCCTCGTCGCTCCGCCCCGCCCGGCCGCCCGGCCGCCCGGCGGGGCGGGGCCCAGGCGAGCCCATCATCGGATCGACAAGTCGCATCGGCGATCGAAATGAATCGGACCGGCGAAAAATCAGCAGCCAGGTCGGGAGAAGTCGATTCGGCGCTAGTTACGCCTGCCTCCCGTAGGGAGTCGGGGTCCAAGTCGGAGCCCGAGTCCGGATCGAGTCGGAATCGGAGGCCGTCGAAGTCGCATCGAGTCGAACCGGAGGCATCAGCACGAGCCCTGGGGGCCGCTCTCTCCACGAGGAACCCTGGGCGCCCACGTCGCGCCCACGCCCTTTTCGTGCAGAGCCGTGGGAGGAGGAGGAGGGAGGAGGGACGAGGGAGGAGGGAGGAGGGAGGAGAGGAGTGATGGAGGGAGAAGGAGAAGGGGGGAGTAAGGAGGAGTAGGAGGAGGAGGGGAGGAGGAGGAGGGAGGAGGGGAGGAGGAGGAGGAGGATGGGGAAACGAGGAGGACAGGCGGAGGAGGAGGAGAGGAGGGAGGAGGAGGAGGAGGAAGGAAAAGGGAGAAGGAGGAGGAGGATGGAGAATGAGGATGAGAGGAGGAGGAGGAAGGTAGGGAGGGAGGAGGGAGTGAGGAGGGGAGGTAGGGAGAGGAGGAGGGAAGGAGAGGAGGAGAGGAGGGAGGAGGAGAGAGGAGGAAGAAGGAGGGAGGAGGAGGAGGAGGAGAGGAGGAGGAGGAGGAGGGCCTTGGACGCACCATTCGAGGCCGCACGGGCCGCGAGTGCAGCCCGCCGCGTCGGGGCCGCGGGCGCGGGGCACGCACGCCTCCTCCTCCTCCTCCTCCTCCCTCCTCCCTCCTCCTCCATCCTCCTCCATCCCTCCTCCTCCTCCGCCTCCTCCGTCCTCCTCCCTCCCTCCTCACCCTCCCTCCCGCCCTCCCGCCCTCCCTCCCTCCTCCCTCCCTCCCTCCCTCCCTCCTCCCTCCTCCTCCTCCTCCTCTCCTCCTCCTCCTCCTCCTCCCTCCTCCTCCGCCTCCTCCCTCTCGGCCGCTCGGCAGGCCTCCTCGGAGGCAGGGGGATGGCTTTCACGAGCGGCCTGAGCTGCCTCCTCGAAAGAGGGGCCACCCAGCCTCCGCAGAGGCGGGCCGCGCCCCCTCGCCCAGGGCGCCCTGTCCCGGGCGCCATGGGCGGTCATGCGCTCGGAGCCGATGCGGCGACGTGTCGGATCGGGGCTCGGCGGGCAGGAGGGCCCGGAAAAGCGGAGCGACAAGTCGGAGCGGCGATCGAGACGACTCGGATCGGCGGAGATCGGCGGCCGAGTCGGGAGAAGTCGGATCGGCGGCAATCGGCAGGCTGGTATGCCTGCGGTGCGAAGCCGAAGCCCGAACCCGAATCCCACGGCGAGCCGAATCGGAATAGGAAGCCCTCGAAGTCGAACCGGCCCGGAGGAAGCGACAGGGGCCCTGAGCGGGTGGCCCGACCTCGCGCATCGTCTTCCATGGCCACCCGCTTCTGCCACGGCGACTCTCCACCGCTCGTGCTGGCCTCGACGCGGCGCGCCGGGCCTGGGTGCGAGGACGGCGTTTGGCTGGCGTGCTGGCTGGCGCCACCCCATCCGCCCGCCGCTGCCTCGCTCTGGGTGGCGTGAGCTCCTCGCAACGCCATCGCACCCCTCGGGGATCTGCCGGCCCTGGTCCATCCAGGCCCGGGTCAGTCAGGCCTGGCAGGGTCCTGCAAGATCCTGCAGGATCCTGCAGTATCCTGCACCCAAGCCCCGGGCAATGCCGCAGCTAGATCTAAGTGAGCAGTGGCGACCTCGCCTTCTGAACCTTCAGAAGAACTCCTGGGTGAGGGAGGATGAATGCCCTGACGGAGGCGGTGAGGAAGAGGAAGAGGAGGGAGAAGGGAGAGGGGGAAGGCGAGAAGGAGGCGGATGAGAACGAGGACAAGGAGAAAGAGGAGGAGGAGAAGGAGGAGGAGGAGAAGGGGAGGAGGAGAGGAGGCGGAGGAGGAGGAGGAGGAAGAGGAGGAAGAGGAGGAGAAGGAGAGCAGCCCGCCTTCCCCGACGCGGGCCCGCTGAGCTCGTGGAGAAAGTGAATGAGGCAGTTGGCGGCGCCGAGGTTCAGCCTCGGCCAGATGCGAAAGCACGGCGCGAAGGGAGAACGCCTCCCTACAGCCCCGCTTCGGCGCTCCACCCTCCCCATTCCACCTCCTCCAACTCTTCCCCCACTTCCTGCTTCCTGTTCCCCAACCGCTTCAATGTCTCCAGACGCAGCCGCTTCCCCCAGGGGGGCCCGGTCGGCCCCCCCTGGGGGAGCAGAGCAACACCGAGAAGATTTAGGACCAAAGTCCCGCAGATAGGAGGGAGAGAGGAGGAGAGACGAACGGCAGAACACCTCATCATAATCATACTACCATCACCTCAGAAGGAGGGGACCAGGAGGTGGACTGGCAGCGTGGCGTGAACGGTGCGCGGCAGCACTGTAGGCGTTGAGTGGGCCCTGGGGCCTCGCGTTGTGCCACCCCTTGTTTCGGGTCGTGTTGCCTTGCTAGGCCACCGCCCTAGAAGCCGCCCTAGTGGATGAAAAAGGCGATGAGGTGGCGAGGGTCTGTGGCAGAGTTGAGATAGGCAGGCGGTGGAGGAAACGGTGTGGACGGCGGCGCCCAACGAGACACTCCGTTGCAGAGCTCCGTCTGCAGGGCCCACCTGGGGTGCCGTTGGCAGCAGGGAGGAGGGCCCAAGGGCCTCTCCCTCTGCTCACAGGGCCCCCCCCACAGGCGTCGCCAAAGGCCGACACCATAAACCCTCGCCTGCAAGCAGGCGTCGGGCTGCCAGCACGTCGCCCTCGGGGCCGCCGTTGGGGGTGGGGGCCCGGAGGAGGAGGAGGAGGGGATAGGGAGGAGGAGGAGGGGGGGGGGGAGGAGGAGGAGGAGGAGGAGGAGGAGGAGGAGGAGGAGGGGAGGAGGAGGAGAGGGGCACGCTCAGGTGGGCACCGCGGCCGGCCCGCCACGCTCGCGCAGTGGAGAAGCACAACGGGCCTCTGCCCCTGCGCATAGGACATCCCGAGGCGTCCCCAGACCCCACGAGACGTACCCCCCCCCTGCCAAGCAGCTCCTCCTCCTCCTTCCTCCTCCTCTCCTCCTCCTCCTCCTCCTCTTCCTCGCCCCCTCCTCCTCCTCCTCCTCCTCCTCCTCCTCCTCCTCCCTCCTCCTTCCTCCTCCTCCCTCCCCCTCCCCCTCTCCCCTCCTCCTCCTCCTCCTCCTCCTCCCCTCCTCCTCCTCCTCCACTTCCTCCTCCTCCTCCTCCTCCTCCTCCTCCTCCTCCTCGTCCTCCTCCTCCTCCTCCTGGGTTCCCCCGAAGCGTCCCCAGACCCCACGAGACGTACCCCCCCCTGCCAGGCAGGGGTAGGGCTTCCCAGATCGCGGACGTGGGTGCCGCTGAGGGGCTGTCCACCGCGCGTGAGGGGGAGGTTTCCGCCTTCTGTGGCGGTGGCACGGCCTAGGTGGTGCGTTCCCCCCCCCGACGTACATCCCCCCCCGTTGGCTGTTGCAGGCGCCCGGTGGTCGCGGCTGCTGTGGCACTTGCAAAGAGAGAAGTAGTATATGGAGGCGAGGTGAGGGGCTCGCCATCGCTCGGACGTCCATTCCCTGTGTTTTTTTTCGGTTTCGTGCGTGGTTTTCGCCAAATGATCAAGGATGCTCCTCGATGGTCCTCGATGGTCCTCGCCGAGGAAAAAACGCACACGTCCGAGCGATGCCAAGGGGGTGGCTGCCAAGGCGTGCCTGCCTGCAGCGGGCGCGTGGTGGATTTGCGGCCAGTCTGGCCGCGGCCTCGCGAGGCCTCTGCCGCGCGGGCCTGCGGCGGAGTCCCTTGCTCGTCCCCTCCTCGAAGACACCCGCTACAGCCCCCCCGATTCCCCGCCACAAGAGTTGGGTGTCGAGAAGGACACACAAATAGATACACACAAATGAACATATTCCCCATATTTCGTATATTTTCTGGGTTTCTGTCTTCTCCCCCACTTCCCATATTTTCCCATATTTTCTGGGGAATCGACGATTAATTGTGTCTGTGTGTTTCTGTTCCTCCTGACAGCTCCGATGGGTAAGGTGGGGGGAGACGGGGCTGCGGGGAGAAGAGCCAGGAGGGAGGGGAACGTTGGAGTTTCAAGCGCCTTCAACTGGTGCTTGTAACCGAACCGAGAGTCATCGCAGTCGCCACTGATGTTCGCCCCGTATTGCGCCTCCTGCCCCAGTGGCGTGTCGCGAAATTGGTGGAACGCCCCGTAGGGACTGGCGGTGATCGGAGTCGCCGCCGATGTTCACGATGTAAGATGCTGTCGAAAGATGCTAAAATCCCAGACACCAACTGTGCTGCTTCCGTCATGCGGTGAGTGCGTACGTGTCGGTGACAGGATACTGCAGGGATGGAAACTGGTAGGCAGCAGCTGGTGGTCCTGTCTGCTGGGGTACGGGTAGGCACGAGAGGCTACAACGCACTGACTGGCCGCCGCTAGGCTGGTCCAATCGCCAGGGTTGCCTCGGTGTTGTGGGAGATCAAGGGGGAGGCTTCTGATTCGCCGTGGTCGAGCCGTGCTGGTCGCGCTGGTTCGCTTTGACGGCGTCTGCGAAGGTTGACCATGATTTCCACGGGTCGGGGGCGTATGCTGGGAATGCCTCCTTTTTCGGTATCCCGCTGGTTGCCTGTAGTGGATGATGCCGCGCTGTCCGTCTGTGGGCTGGAACCTCAGCGGCTGCGATTTGCAAGGCGCGTGGGACACGTCCCGCTTTTTGTGGTGGTCAGTGGTCGTGTTGCGGATCGTAGCTGCTGTGTTGCAGTCGACGTGGGTAGTGTGCTGCTTGTTCTGGTGTGGTTCTGGATGGCACTGTGCGGTGCTGCTCCGTTTGGTTTGGTCCCCGATGAAAGCGGTCCGCTGGGGCTCTGCCTTCGGTCTTGACGTCGGCGGCTGCTGATCCAGCTGTCGACCTTGGAGTGGTGCGGTCTTGATGTGCTCATCGCTAATTTGTATCAGGTCGAATGCGGTCGGTGGGGTTTCGCGGCTGCAGATCCTGCTGATGCTGTGGTTCGTCTTTGGGTAACGGGTCTGGCTGCTGATCAGCTCGGACTTCTTGACCATTGCCTCGATTGCGATTTCACTCTGGATGCGGGCGACCAAGGGACGGCGTCGGCGTGGTCGTAGGGTTGTGTCGTATGGCTACCATGATATCCATCGGGGATCGTCTGACCCGGGTCAATCCAGACCCGGGTCAGCAGGAAACCAAAAACTGCAATGCAAGACAAACAAAAACTGCAACGCAGGTCTTTGCAAACCCGGGTCAGCCAATACGAGCGGCCGTCTCGCGGCCACGAGCGCCTCGCTAACCCGGGTCAGCCAGAGGGGGCCTTCGCAGGATCCTGCAGGATCTGGCGCTCTGGCTGACCCCCGTTTGCACTGACCCCCGTCTCTTAGGCCCCGAATCCATGAGGATGTCTCTCTTCCGCTGTGCCACCTCTGCTGGCTCAAAGGTGTCGCCGTGGCTGTGGTGCGCCGGGTGGCTCAGCATCCGGGCCGGCTGGTGGCTGGCGCAGTTCGCCAAAGCCCTTCGTCGCTGGGTCGCGCGGGAGGCGCGTGCCTCCCGCAGCTCGTCGGACTTACTGCAGCTGTTGAGGGCTCCTTCCACGTACACCCTGCGAGATGCTTAAGAAATCATGGGTTAAGAAATTGATAGTCTCAGAATTTGAATAAAAACCCAGAATTCCTTTCGAAATCTTAGGATTTACATTGAAACATTAAGAATAATCGAGACACTGGCCGAAAAAATAGGTTTTCATAAGCATCGCCTAAGGTGTACGCCGTTGGCGAAAACGCCCAGCTCGAAACAGTTGGGTCGCCAGGATCTCGGGGCACGTCTCGGGGCGAGGCGAGGGGGGCGTCACGGAAGGGGATGGCTTGCTAGAATTAAGTCGGGCCTGTCCCCCTACAGGGGGGTTTTCGACGAAAAATAAAATAGTCTGGGGACTATTTTTGGACTGTCTTTTCGCCTTTTTGAAATATTTGTGGGGTATTCTTTCTTTTTCGTCGAAAATCCCCCTGTAAGGGGACAGGCCCGACTTCATGCTAGAAGGTCGGTCAGGCCGCCCGTGGCGCCCTGGGGCTGTCGACCCGGCCTCGAGGACCGGAGCGTTGCATCCTGCGAGTGCGCTCCCGAAGAGGAGACCATGGAATCCCAGGAGACCCCATAGCCCTGGCCATGGCATCCACCTCACCTAGTTACAACTCCCCTCCTCGCCATCGCTCGGACGTCCAAATGATCAAGGATGCTCCTCGATGGCCCTCGCCGACGGAAAAATGCACACGTCCGAGCGATGCCAAGCCTCTTGGCCACGCGGAATCAGCAGCGACAGCAACAGCGCCAGTAGCCCCCAGCGGTGCCTCTGGCGCCGCCCCGGCTCCGCGCCTTCATGGATGGGGGGGTCCAGCGCCGATCCAAGAGATCGGCGCGGAGCTCCAGAAGTGTTTACGTTTATGCTATTTCTGGTTTTTCTTTTGGCGGCGGCATCCAACACCTGCCCCCGCCGACCAACGATTCTCCCGAACCGATGGAAAGCACGGGCTTCCGCTGCAGGCCCTTTTTGCTACTCGACCTCTGGCGGAGGAGGAGGAGGAGGAGGAGGAGGAAGAGGAGGAGGAGGAAAAGGAGGAGTCTCTCGTCTCGTCTCGAACCCATTCAAGCAACGATCCATGCCTGGTCATATGTGCTCTGGGTTGGGGCGGTGGCCATTGCCTCGCCCCTCTCTCGCTCCACATCGTTCTGGAGCCTGCCGTGCCGATGAAACGGAGGCACGGGCGGATGCGCCCCTGTTGGCGCCCGCACGGGGGGCGCACGTGTGAGGCGCCCATCAAGTGGGAGTGATCTGGAGGACTGTTGCTCGCAGCACCAAGCAGCGCTAATATATATCCTAAGGTGAGTGCATTTCGCGGGCGACGTCCTCTTCGGCTTCGAAGGGGTCGGCCTCGTGAGGGTTAAAACTGAGGCCGGACACCCGCCTCAGTTTTAACCCTGAATCGGCGCCAGGGTCGGGAGCGTTCTGACTCGCCGAGTGCGAGGCGGGTCCAAACAGGCGG